TTCCTAGAGTGTTTCTATTGTGTCTTCAAAATTAACTATAAAATCAATATTTCTATTAGTAGTGGACTATATAAATATATAGGAAAGAAGAAGCACTCATGATTGATGATGATGTATAAACTTCAATGCTCATACATGATATTAAATTAAAATATATGGATTCAACCAAAAAAATTAAAATATATGACTGACATGAATGATGAAGTACATGGAACTTGGTTGGTTTAGTTGATAAAAAGTATATTGATAATTGGGAGATGGGTTAACAAAAATCATATTCATTGTAAAACAAATTGAGTGTGCCTAGATTATTCTAGCTTTGTCTTTAAAATTGACTATGATAATTTTATTAATATTAATTTCTGTAATACTCAATATTATTTAATATTAATCAGGAACACAAGACTTTTGCCAACAAATTCTTCCAAGATGAATAATGAGCTTAATGAGTTCACATAATGAATCATTTCTATAGGAGATAAAACAATTGTAGAAAATAACAATGGGAAGAAAAAGATTATTATTCCGTATGACATTTGACTGCAATACTCAATTGAACCTATAGAGTGCATAATTGAATCTACATAGAAAATTTTATTAGTCATCTCTTTCATGATCAACGACCAATTCTATTTTAGAGATAAGATCATATTAGAACTTACATTGTCTATAGTGGACGAGGTTGATAAGTATATTCTATCCATGATTCTTAAGAATGTTGTATTTAAGCCTAGATAGTGTGTGCAAGCAAGATAAAGATATTGACTCAATAGATGAATTGTATTCCATCAAGTTCCTAAATCTAATAGCAATGTTTGGCCTCCCAAATCATGTGTTGAAGCTTAGGTTAATGCTCCTATTATACTTCTTAGAAATATTCATAAATCTCTTAGTCTTTGTCATAACATGTGTCTAATTGTTATGGAGACAAGAAAACAAACTCTCGAAATATATATAATTTCAGGTTCAAATGCTAGGATAAAGGTCTGCATTCTAAAAATTGATATGTTAACTTTTGACTCTTGATTGTCATTTACTCTTTACAGAAGACAATTTTCTATTTTATTGTTTTTGGCTATGACTATAAACAAAAGCTAAGGTCAGAGCTTGCTCATTGTTGGGTTATACTTACTAAGACATGCCTATACCCATAACCAGCTATATGTTGTTGTGTCTCAAGTGTGAAATATGAAAGGGTTAAAGATGTTTTTTTTTTGTTACACATAGGTTTTGCTCCTATTAGAGACAATTTTATTTGGGACACTGTCAGGCATTAAATGTAGACACCTCTCTTAATAAGCATTTGAATCTCGGTTCATCATGTTATGAGAGAATTGTCCCTTACACTAAACCCAACCTCTATTAGTAAAGGGTTGAATATGTTAATTCTTGATGCAGATATTAAGCCCACAAATGATATTGTAATCATAGATTGCAAGGAGATTTTCAACAATCTAACTAATATATAATAGCCATTTATTCGTTAAAGTGCTTTGCTTTTTCAAATTTTTATTGCTATTTTTCTTTCTTTCTTTATTGTAACAAATTGTTGCATCCACCTTCAATTTGTGTTTAAAATTTATCTATAATGTTATCCCCTACATTTTTATTCGTTATAATTTTTTAATATTAATTATGATCAAGTAGTTATATCTTTTTATAATTTTACTAAGATAAATACTTAATATGTACTAATTATCACTGTTTAACACTTGAAAGAATTTGTAAAAATAACATCCCGTGTGTTACACGGGTAATTGACTAGTTAAATTGATAATTAAGTCAAACAAAGATGAATCAATTCTTTAATTTCTCTTCTCTTCTTAAATGGTAATGCATATGCTATCATCTTGGTTAATCCTTGCTTAACATCACAGCTAATGAAGTTTCATAATCAAGCTCTTTAATTTGAAACTTGGAGGTCCAGTCTAATCAACCATTTTAATTTTGTCAATTTTGAACACTAATGAAATTTTCTGGCAAAAAAAAAAAACAAAAGAAGAAGAAGCCACTGCTCAAATTTCAGAATAAGTTTCAAATATAATTCGCGATTATACCTAGTCTGTGATAATGATGCTATCTAGTTTAGCCAATTTAATTTCACCTAACTACACTGACTTGAGTTAGGTCAGACAAAATAAATTTACTGATCAAACCAAACAAATGAGATTACCAACCATGTTAGTTTTTTGTTACATTAGTGGAGGTTTAAATCCTATGTCACTACCAACACCTTTTTTTTTTTTTCAAACTATATTGGGCTAGTTTCACTTAAGTCCATGTTAGTTTAATTTAATTCAATATGATGTTATTAAATAAATTATATACACATAGTTTACAACCTGACATAATTCAGTCCAATCTTGATCAGACAACTCATGGTTAGCAGATAATATGACTTGATATAAATATTTTATTTGATATTAAAAAAGAGAATTGAAGCTGGATCCATATGAGTCATTTGGTAAGCTAACGCAAAGAAACACTTGTAAAGTCAAAATAGTTGGAACCTCTCCCTCCCTCTCCCTCTCCCTCTCCTTTTATAACGAGAGAGGATGCTAAGCAATTAGGATATTCTGATGTAGCAAACTAACTAACTTTGAAAAAGGGGTAAACAGGATGAAAACTGGCTATGTAAGATAAAGGTGGATTTCAAAGTTCTAGCATGAGAGGGATCATGGGCTTTCAGAGTGGGCTAAATACAACTTTTGGTTCCCTTACTAATCATCATTGGTAGAGAAGAGTTTGATCCAACAAGTCACTAAACTTTACATATCATGTTACCCCCAAAAAAATAAAAAAAGTACATATCGTATGATTTTTAATCATAGCTACTCCCTCTTACCTTTTATTATATGATAAATTTTTTTGCCTTTCATATAAGACGTTTGATGGAATATTAATTGTATTTTTTGTTACTATGATCTTTGTTTAAACTCATTAATTATAAGAGTTTAAAAGATTTACTTTATTTCCAACTTATTCAAGTTGCTCGATTCAAATAAATTTAGTTAGAATAAGCTCGGCCTATAAGAATTATCAGCTCTACTCTTATTCCAATAAGGTGTAGAAGTATATACTCTCTGAAAATTTTCTTCATGGGCTGCATAGAGCTAGCTAACTTTTCTGCACATGTTCATGACCCTCGTGCTTAAAAAATGCAACTCTTCTATATCCACATGGCATAATGCTATTATTATTAATTTCAACTCCCTTGATTTATTCGTTAGTTCGCGTGGCGATATACCAAATCCCACCGATATTTTGGGGGGCTTCTTCTAACCTTTCAAGGAAAGATTCATTAGTTCTTTCCTCATCAACATCAGAAAAAGGGTTCACAATTATCATTTGTTGCATGAATATGGTGGCTCTTTTATGAAAAATGAATAAGTTTTCATCATCTTTTGTTTAATTTTGAAAAAAAATGAATTGTTTGGTCCCTATAATTTTGACTCAATTGTAACTTAATCTTTAAATTTTCATTCATTCTAGTTCAATCTTTATAGTTTTAACTCGATTGTAACTCAATTCTTGAACTTTGACTCGGTTCAACTTAGTTTCTATATTTTTAGTAATTTAAAATATTGGTCCTTATATTTTAAAAAAAATTATAAAGATTACAATTATTTTAAAATTTTAATTTTTATAAAGATTAAAAGTTTTAGTAATTTAAAATATTAATCTCTAAATTTTAAAATAGTTTCAGTATTTATAATTTTATTTTCTAAAATAGAGGGATCAATGTTTTAAATTATCAAATGTATAGGGATCGAGTTGTATTGAGTCAAAACTATAATAATCGAGTTGCAATAATTAAAATTAAAGAAATAGGTTATAATTAAGTCAAAACTATAAAAACTAAATGATTGATTTTTTTTAATTTTTATTATTCCTTTTGCCTCTTATATTGTTAACATGTTACTAAGTCTAGCTTCTTTTCATATCTGACTTTTTTTTTCTTATATTGCTATCTGACTAGGTTAAATTTGAAAATTGTGAACCCCATTGAAAGTAATTATCTCAAAATTATTTTCTACATTCACTTTGATTCGAATTCGAGATTTGGTATTTAAGTGCTTCCATTATGATATCATACTAAGCATGCAGAGAAAATAAACAAATTTTTCTATTTGATCCCATGTTTGCTTCTCTCGTCAGGTCTCTCTCTCTCTCTCTCTCTCTCTCTCTCTCTCTCTCTCAATTAATTTCATGGCTAATCACACCTTCGGATAAGATTTTAAAGAAATGGTCAGCACCTCCAGACATCTTTACACACACAGTGATATGATTGTGATCGAGGACATTTTAATTTGTAGGCGCATGTAAGAAATGACACTTAATAGTTATGATATATGAAATGGGCAAATCTTTAGCAGTAAGCAAGGGTAAAATTCTTATTCCTTAGCTTACAGGCAATTTTTGAATCATCAAATTCAAACTTTCAACCTATAGCAGCATCTTATCCTTTCCATCTTTGTCATCAAGGTGGTTGAGTGCACATTTTCATTCCAATTTTCATCAATTTTTCCTTCCTTTGTTATCATCAAACTGTAATAAATGAAAGCTTGGATTACAATTCTTGACAACACCACGTAACTAATAGAGCTCTCTGTACCTTAGCACAACACACACATGAAATAATTGCCTCCTAAATGAGAAACAAACGTTGGATTCTGTCATTCGAATATAAGTGCCAATTTTTTTTCCTTTTAATAAGGTCTATAGTGAATAGATATGTTGAGCAGTCATGATTGACTCATATCTTTTTACTTGAAATAACTAATCATTGCATTAGATGAGTTGGAATCTCTTTATATTACGTGAGTTTATAAGATTTCCTTTTGAGATTTTCCTTCTCATTAATCACTTACTTCCAAGTCAAGAATTTCGGCATGTACCAGAAGTGAAGTGGATAAAAGATTCCGTGGATTATAGAGTTTTGACAATTTGGCAGGGTCAGTTGCTCACTGCTATTGAATTCTCATTGAAGCTTCATGATCTGTTGGAAACATTGAAACATTCACCCACTTAATTTGACTAGTGGCTGATTTATATTCTATTTTTTGCTTGATCTTGTATGGACATTGATGATTAATTAGTAACAGTTCAAAAATGAAACATGAAACAGAAAGAGAACATGTGCACAAGAACTGATGCAGATACTGCTTTTATTGAGGAATGTTTTCTTTGCACAGAGAATGAACTTCAATTTCTGTCATGATAAAAAGATTTGCCGCCAGTTGTATGTAGAACAGATTCCTCTGACCTGTGGGTTGTTTTTTTTCCCCCTTTGTATTGAACTTTTCCAATGAGCCTATGGAAAGTAAGCATCATCAATATCTGTACAAAAGATTGTCCTTTAGCATCATCATCATCATCAGTTTCTAATTTTTTCTATAAGAGACCCCTGGGAAGATTCCTGAGAATGCAGAGACCTTGAGGGTGCTGCTGCTGAAGTATTAGCAAGTCCTTTGAGCAACTTGATGACTTCACAAGTATCATCCAAGTAATATTCTGCCATGCTTGGTTTCTGACCAACTGTGCAGGCAAAGACTTGAGCTGTGGCCGGTAGGGTTGGGTTATTAGAGACTGTGCAAGCAATCCTCTCAAACATGTCTTCATCTGAGCGATCATCTCCTATACATAACAGAAAATCCAGAGACTTTCCTTCTTTCCTCATTCTTGAGATGAGGTTTTCCACCACTATGCCTTTGCTCACACCCTGCATCTCAGAAGTTTACATCCAATGACGTCACAGAACTCATTCAGTGAATCTTGTCCATAACTTATGAAGCAACTGATACTTACAATATGATTCGTACCTGAGGATTTACTTCCACGATATGTTGCCCTCTTTTAACAATGACTGGTTCATTAGCAAGAACACTCTCGAGGTGATCAAGAAGCTCTTTGGCTTGGGATGATCCAAAGTGAGGGTCAGCTTCTTGATGATGCCAAACCAGTGCGCTTTCCTTTTGTTCAATGAAAGACCCATCGGTTGCTTCTGTGTAAAGAGCCATGACTGGTTCCGCAATCTTTTTCCAATCAAAGTCCATTGTCAACCCACATGTCTCCCAAGTAGAATCCTTACTCCACCTGTCAAATTGAACAAGAACAAAAATTAATGCAGAGACGTTGAGACACACACACAATTACTAATCGTTTGACATGTAATATCTGTGTACCTGGTGAAGTAACCATGCTCAGCTGAGAGACCAAGCTTCTCACATGGAGAAAACCACTTGCTTAGGCACTTCTTATCTCTTCCACTCACAATGAACACTGTGTTGTTGGGATCACTGCACAGACAATTCAAGACAGAAATAACCTCGTTGCTTGGAGTCTTGTCCATGGATGACTGCGGCAACATGGTACCATCATAGTCCAGAAGGATCAAACGACTGTGTGTGTTTTTATAAGCTGATGCAATGTTATCCACTGAAAGCTTCCTGAATGTCGGATCCAAAGCCACAATTCTGAATCCCAAGCCAAGACCAACGCCCCAATACCTCTTGAGGTAATGTTCTCTGCATGCTCTCTCCAAGTCTCGATCAAAACTTCGAGCCCAATAAGTTACATCGTGAGAGCTGATATACTTATAATGCTTTTCATGACGTAAATTCTTCTCTGCCTCTGGCAATGTGATCGCCAAATTCATGGCCTCAGAGACCTCATCGACGTTCCACGGGTTCACTCGGATCGCACCGCTCAGAGACGGCGAGCATCCGATGAATTCAGAGACGATGATAACACTCTCTTTGGGTTTTTTAGAATCCTTGTCGTCATCTTCTTCAAGTGATTTGTCCAACGCCGGGCTGCCCTGTCTGCAAACAGTGTACATATAAGGCACCAAGTTCATCCCATCTCTCACGGCATTCACAACGCAGCAGTCAGAAATGGCACAGTAGGCAGCTTTCTCGAGTGTTGAAACAGGACCATTGATGAAGATGATTGGCTGGTAACCTGGCTCGCCGTATTTCTCATTGACTTCCTTGGCAATCGCATTGGTCTCTTTTTGCACATCCTGAATGTCTTTACCTTCGCTCCTAGCAGGATTCAGAATCTGGACTAAAACAACTCGACCCCTTAGCTCCTCGTGTATATCCAAGAGTTGCCCCATTGCTAAAAACTTAAAGTTGATACCTTTGAACAAATCCATGTCGTCCACACCCAGAATCACAAATTTCCCCTCAAATCGTTTCTTCAATTCCTTAATCTTTTCAGCCGTCTCCGACAACGAAAACACCGATTCGAGCTGACCCATGTGGATTCCGGCCGGCAGGATCTTAATCATCACGGTTCGACCGTAATAATCTAGTCCCATGTAACCCCTCTTAGACTCATAATCCAAACCGAACATCCGGCTACAACAGGACAAGAAATGTCTGGCGTAATCAAAGGTATGGAATCCAATTAAATCACAATTCAACAAGGCCCGAAGGAGATCATCACGAACAGGTATAGTTCTATAGATTTCTGAAGACGGGAATGTGTTGTGCATAAAGAATCCAAGCTTAACGCGGTGGAACCGTTTCCTCAGTAGTGTAGGCAAGATCATGAGATGATAATCATGGACCCAAACAAAATCCTCGTCCGGGTTGATCACCTCCGTTACCTTGTTAGCGAAGATTCTGTTGGCCAAAACATAAGCTTGCCACTGCGAGCGATCGAAACGCGCACCTTGGCTCGTCGACATGGGCACCATGTAATGAAACAGAGGCCAGAGATAATGCTTGCAGAAGCCATGGTAGTACTTATTGTGAATTTCAGAGGGCAAGAAGGTTGGCACGCACCGAAACTTCTCGAGCAAAACCTGCGCCACTTCGTCTTGTTCCGACGGGTCGATCTCGTCCTTCAAGGAGCCAACGTACAAAACGTCGACGTCGGAGGGTAACCCGTCTTTGAGCTGCAGCACCAAACTATCACTATCGAATTCGAAACTCCATTTCTTGGTGCTCACATCCCGAGAAGCCCGTATCGGCAACTGGTTCGCCACTATGATCCTGCGCTCCTGCGGTAAGGACGAAACGATGCCGTCGAATCCGGACCCGTAATCGGCGTGGTCGTCTTCGGCGGCCTCAAATTTTGACACCACTCCCGGCACCGTTGAGACTCTCGGAATCTGATACAGTGCTCGATAATCATCGACGGAAACCAAACTCAATAGGTCTATGCAAGATCTCGAAAGCATTATGCTGGACAATGAAAATCAGATTGCCCGGGGAAAAAAAAAATAAACAAAACTTTGCTGGTGAGAAACAACCGGGGTGAGAGGATTGAGGTTTCAGGTGAGGTACATATATATGGGCGTTACAGTGTCAAATGAAGATATGAAAATCTTCGAGAAATGGAAGTTCTTGATACTGATACACCCTCCATGACAGCAAAGCTATGTCAAGAAGGAAATTAAATGCTCAGTGAGGATAAGAACGAAGAAAGATCGAGCAAGTTGATTTTATATGGCAAGCTTGACGGTCCAGATTCATTAGAATCACGATCGTCTTCGTGATCCTTTTTTTCTGGGACAATCCGTGGGATAACTGTAATTGATTATTTTCCTCGATTTTAAAATAAAATTTATTTTATTGCTTTTTTTTTTTAAATAATTATGACGCCGGTGAATGTAAGTGGATAAGAATGTGAATATTGGACAGAATTAAAATTTAAACAAGCGCGTCATGTTTGCCGCTTTGCATTTGGAAGGGGAAGAAAAATCTTACATGCATTTATGACCCAAGAAATTTTTTGTATATGCATGTATGTTTTTTTTTTTTACCCAGCGTATATGCATGTATATAAAATAAATGGATTGCGTTTGGGATCAGATTCTTGTATATATTGTATTCACTTTCTTGTAAAAATTTTTTGCTGTGCATAAACGTAGAATAATGAAATGAATAGAAAAATTAAAAACCAATTTTATAGGATTTACGGTGATTAAAACAAATATAATTTTTTTAAAAACATGGGATATATATTCTCCTGTCTCTATCTTGTTAGATTAGGGATATAATCGTTTTTATGTTGACTAATATGAAAATATGTGGTTTCCATGAACAAAAACATGGTTTTGGTTATAATTTGTAACCAGAAAATCAAATGTTCACCCCATCTCACATTATAAAATTTTTAAATAAAATTACATATACTAATAAATTTTATTAAATATATATTATAATTTTATTTTTTTAAAAAAATAAAATTTTATAAATGTCATTCATTTAATAATTTATTTATAAAAATATTAAAAAAAATGTAATAGGAAGGGTGATATTAAAAGTTAGTAAAATTTTATTTTTTATTTTTGTTATAATATTTTATATTTTAAAATATTAATTTTTTAAAAATATTTTTATAATTTGAAATGGAAAAAATATTATGTACAATTTTCAGGGCATACAAGCCGGTTTAATTATGATATGACCTAATCTATTGTTTTTCTTGCACAAGCTTTCAGTGGCCCTTTATCCAAAGAGTCAAATGCTACAATACACCCTAAGGTGTTTTTTTTTTTTTTTTCTTTCTTTTCACCTGAAAAGCCCTACGGTGGTTTGGAAAAAAATAAAAAATCTACGGATAAAACTCATGTTTTAAAGTTGAGCTAGTGATAGAAATTAGAATTTGAGTTCATGATTTTACAATTATGAAATCTAATTTTATAATTTTGGTTAGCGTTTAGATGATTCAGCATATCAATTCAAAGAATCATCAAATGCAAGCTTGTATCCATCTCTTACTTGTGTTGACATGCGTGCCTGTGTAACAATAGGAACCAGCCTCTAAATTAGTTCTCTTTTCAATAGGGATTGATTGGCAGTCTTTCTACTAAAAAAATTGTCAACTTTTTTACCTGCAATATTTTTTATTGTGCAACTAGGGTACATCTGTCATCATTTTTATTTTGTGGTCAAAGAATATGTCTAGCTTGAGTTTTCTTTTTATTACATTCATGTTTTCTTCTATAAATCAATCATATTTAAAATATAGTCATATACATGAGTAATTTTTATAGTCAAGATTTAAATTTTAATTTTTCTTATTATAAAAAATTAATCCTTTTTACTAGATCTAACCCTATTAGATATGTTTTTCAACATTTCAAAAACATAGAATAAAATGAATAGAAAACCAAACTACAAAAGGAGTTAAAAATGATTTTAGACTGATTAACTCGTTTTAAAACTTGGGATATGGATCGTGGATATCAGGATATGCTTGCTTTCATGTTGATTAAAGCGAAGAATGCACGACTCTTATGAGAAAAAAAAAAACAAAGAAAAAAAAGAAAAGTAGCTACAAGCTAATTATTGATAAAACAAAAATTCCACATCTGATTAGTTACACATCCCAACAATAATACTCGAGATTATTGATGGTTAACAGGTGTGATTATCGTGAGTTTCCAAGCATGTATTTATTTGATAATTTGATCAATAATCCATGTGCTTCGAAATTGAGCCAATGATAGTTGGTCAAAAAATTGAGCCAATGATAGAAATTATAATTTCAGTCAATAATTTTACTCTATAGTGTTATGAAATCCAATTTCATAATTCAAAATAGTGTTCATATGATTTAACACAATGATTCAAATAATCATCAACTGCATTGCCTGATAATTACTTGTTGATGTATATATAATAGGAACGAACCTCACCTCTAAATTATTAGTTCTCTCTTGAATATAAATTTAGTTCTCTGGGGCATATGTATGTCTTCTTATCAAAATGTAGAATGAAATGATAGGAAATAAAAGGAGTAAAAAAAATTAATATGATATAGTGTGATTAAAAAAAAAATTCCCTAGATGGGGCAACTAATATAAGAAAAAATTAGAGTCATAAAACTCAATATTTCAAAATTTTTTAGGTAGATCAAGTGTGTCTTGTGATTTATCCAATAAAAATATAATACTCAGATGACATTAAATATAAATTAATTGTGTCATTTATTAATTTAGAGAGAAAATAAAAGAAATTAAATGTGCATTCTGTTATAAAAATAAACTTAATTAAAATAATATCACATAAAATTTTATTTAGATGACTTATAATATTTTGATTGAACAGACTATGAATGACGTGATACATTTAATTTATTTAAAAATTTCTCCATTCTACTTAATATTGTTGATGGTTATCTTGTGTGATTATCGAGAGTTTCCAAACATTTACCTCTTTGATAATTTGACCAACAATTCATTTTTTAAAATTGAGCTAATGATAGAAATTGCAATTGGAGTTAAAAAATTTACTATCATATAAGTGTAAGTATAATTGCTTACATTTGGTGTTCGAATCATTTAGCATATCAGTGTATATAATTATGAACTACCTACCTCATAAATGTAAGTTTGTAGTAATCTTTTACCTAGATAACATATCATATATACATCTATAGACACACCCATACATGCATACGCACGCACATAGTTATAATAGGAATCAACCTTGCCATTTTACTAGAAAAAAGCATAGCAACCAACATCTAAATTAATTAATTCTCTCTCAAATATGGATTAATTCACATATAGTTTTCTATATATTAAAAAACCGCCAACTAGGTTACCTGTATTTGTTTTAAAATATAAAATGACGATTTATTAAATCAATTTATAATTTATAATTTCTAGCATTGCCTCAACGTTAGAACGTGAATTTTCAGTCAGATTATTAAATAAATAAATAATTGGAAACTCCTGATAGTCACAATACATAATATAAACATCAATAATCTCAAGTTTTCATGGCTTGTGATTTTTTTGAGGGCTGGAAATAAGTAAAAGATTAGTACGAACCTATACTTATGGGAGAGGTAGGTTTTTTTTTTTTTGGGCCAGATGAGGAGGTGGTTGAGATTATTTATAAAAAAAATCATTAACTAGGGTTACCTATAATTATGTGTTAATTCATCTAGCCTTCCTGTGAAAAAATATCATTAACTAGTGTTTATTTATCTTCATTTTACTTTTTATTATTCTTTTTTTATAAATGTCAATTATTCATTAAAAATATTTAGGTATAGTTAGAAAATTAGTTTCATTCTAAAGTAATTGTATATTATTTACATATTGGGATGATGAATATAAAATATACTCCTTTCATTTAAAAATGTAAAATATTTTTTAGGAGTTAAATATTAAAATTATAAAGTATTTTTAATTATTCAAGGTATAATTATTATTATTTTTAAAATGCTCTATTGATAATAATTTTATATTTATTATAAGATATTTAATAAAGGTAAATATAAAAAGATAAAATTAATTTAAAAATAAATAATTATTTTATTAAAAAATAAAATTTAATTAAAAATATCTTACACAGTAAATCTTTGGATTTTGCACAAAACTTAGGAGGTGAGATAGGTTCAAGAAGTAGCTCTGAAGGAAAAGAGTGGATAATGTGATTTAAAATTAATTAATAATAATAAATAGAAATGTCTGGTGAGTTTTAGTGATGTGACTCGGCAGAAGGCTGATGAGACTTCTTTTTTCTTGCTTTGTTCTTTTTTCTTGATGTCGTGTCAAGCTGTGATTTGCATATGATACTGCATTTCAAACTGAGCCACCTGGACCTATTATCGTCTCTTACGTGCATGAAAGGCAAACGCCTCTGATATTATCTCATAAATTTAAATATAAATGAAAATTCTTATGCGCACTTAAGACCCAGATCTTTTATATGAATTTATTTTTTGCATGTGGAGACAAATAGGTGTAAATAAATAATTTAATTCAATTCAGGTAAAAAATAATTTAATCTAATATAATTTGAATAAAATGAAAAGCGTGGGGTCAATCTCATCATCAATTTGACTTTTGACCTAGGACTGTTTAATATAAAATATTAAAAAAATTCAGCATGTGGCAAAGATTTATATATATGAAAATGCAGATTAAATTATAATTGGAAAAAGGAGAACCGCACCTAGGACCTTCAAATGAAAAACGATTATTTTTACGGTCCAAAACAATATGATAATATTCTGCAAATAATTTCAAAGCTTAAAAGACTCAGATTACATACCCCAATTTGCAAAATGGAACCCATATATGCAAAAATCATACGTAACTGAGTTTTTTTAAATTTTGAAATTATTTTCAGTGAGACCCTTGGGCTTGAAGAATGTTATCAAATTATATTGAGCCTTAAAAATAATTATTTTCTATTTGAGGGCCTTAAATACAATTCTCCATTAAAAAAATGGTTAGCTCATAATCAATACTATGTATTAATCAAAACCAAGATCCCTGCTTTGAAATTTCAATCTCAAGGAAAATGCTTGTAGCGTAGTGAACTCAAATCATCATAATAAATTAATAATACTATAGGTGTGAATATTTTAGATTGAGTTAAATAAACTTATATGGACTGGTTTGAACTTTGAATAGGCAAATATGATCATCATAATATTTATACTCTAA